GTAGAGTGAATGATTGAATGCAGGGCCTCATGCCTACTAAACAATCACACTACCACTGAGCTACTTTACCAGCCCTTCTTTGGAATTATTAACCCTTGTCATTGCATATGATTCAGAACAGGTAACATTCTTTCATCTTTTACAGTATTTACAAGAAAGAGGGCAAGGTGGACAGAATCTGAGGAAGTCCCCAGAAAAGAGATGGGGACTTCAAACTTGCCCTGCAGACTAGGTTCTTTTGTTTTTTATTACAACATTTATTGAGTGCTTATTATGTATAAGAACTGTACTAGGCTAGACATAAAGTACAAAGGCAACTTGGGGCCAGGTGAAAAAGCAATGGGCTTGTCCAGCAGGTCTATAAATTTAGGGCCCCCTCCTCATCCCAAAAGTATAATCATAGGGTCTTTGTCAACAGGGGTCCAAAGCCCAATGGGAATATTCTTGTCATGTGGGTCCTCTACCCATCACTACATGCAGACAACAAAGACAGAGTGTGGAAAAAGCCAATAACCACTTTAGATGGTCACCATTATGCAGCTGTCAGTGAACAAATAAGCTAACCCAGGTAGTGTCTGCTGTGTCTTTGGTGTTTCTGCCGAAGAGGTTTTGGGAAATTAGGGAACAAGGTAACTACCAGAATTAATCCCATTCTAGCTGCACTGGATGTCAAAGAAATATTCCACCTCAACTATGGGTTCAAATATGCGTGGGGTGCAGGTATGAGGAAAGCTTTTCTTTCCTTTTTCAAACTGTATTAGCTTTATTAAAGATACTTTTCATAAATGAGCGTGGTATTTCAGGCAGGACATGGACACACAATTGTTAACAGTATACAACTTTAAAACTCCCTTCTTGAATGGACTACCAAAAATCAGAAAGCCACTATAAAATCCCATGAAGTCTTCACTTATTGCTCTTAGTAGGAAAAGTTTAGAGTGAGTGTTGACACTTCATATTTAGCATGTTGTTTATCAACTTTTCACAAGCCAACCCTGACTTTCAGAAAATGAAATGAAAATGGCAGAGTTATCAATCTGAAGTCCCACAATTTAGAAAAGGAAATCATTGCTGTTGTGGGACAGCATCTCAACGTCACTGGCAAGTCCAGAATTCTTGACACACTGGTGACATCAACTGTTGGGAGTCAGTTCCCAACAGGTCTCTGGGTTTAAAGAAGTTAAGTCTATGCTGATGGCAGAGGGAAGGGGAACATAAAATGAACTGGGAATTTACCTGTACCACAAGGCCTTTGTGCCAATGTGGCCACAGCTGTCAACATCAGGCAATCCCTCCTACTGGGAGCCAAAAGTAGTCTCTCAAAACTAGCAGGGAAAGGTGCTTTCCCCAAATCAATCTAGCTTTGGAGACATTGAACTAGTGACATACGCTCCTTCCCCAAAAACAACAATGAAGTGTTCTGTGTGCTAACATAGCTTTAAAAAAGGAAAATAAAATTCTGTATTTTTATAAAACTTCATAAACAATAGTATTTCAAACTGTACAGTCATCAGAAGTATACAGTTATCAAAAATACACACACTTCACTTGGAATCTCAGCACCTTCAGGTTTTTGTGTCTGGTCTGTTTTGGCGTCTCCGTTTTCTGTAGGGTCATTCCCATCCTTGCCAGCAATAGCTTTTCCCTTTTTCCCTTTGGGTACCTTCTCTCCCTTCTTGGCAGGGGCCTTTTTAGGCTCAGGCTCTGGCTTTGGAGGAGCTGGTTTAGCAGACAACCTTGCAGATCTCTGTGGTTTGTCCTTCACCTTGGCTTTATCACCTTTTGCATCCTCTTCAGCCTTTCTCTTGGGCAAGGTGGCGACTGTGACAGGATGCAGACGCTGTGCCTCTTCTTCACACTGCTCTGCTTCCTGCCTGCTCCTTTTTATTTATTTATTTATTTAATTATTATTATTATTTTTTTTTGGTCTGGGGGATGGAACTCAGGACCTTGCACTTGCAAGGCAGGAGGCAACACCACTGAGCTAAATCCCCAAGGGAGGCTTTTAAAGTACCATATGCTACATTGAGAATTATAGAGAGGATGGTTTCTTTGTTTTTTTAAAATTTACATTTATTAGTATATAAGGATTGTATTCATTGTGGGGTTCTGGTACATGTACATAACACATCTTAACTCTTTCTTTCATATCCTCCCCCAGACTAGGTGCTTGACTCTGCACAGAAAAAGAATTTCAGGACATGTTCATGAAAGGCACAGATAGATTTTATGAGGTACAGTACAAGGAGTACACACTAGAGTTCAGGTCCTTAGCAGATAACATCCCTGTGACCTGAGGTTGGAGATTTGTATGCATCCTTTAGGATGGATGATCTATGATGTTTTGTCTAAAAACATTCTTTGGACCCTTTACATATTCTTCTTCATCTTAAACTTAGATTGCTATCTTTTACCTTATCAACTGAACTATTTATAAGTACTTTTTGAATTTGTGTCTTTTATTTGTGTCTTTAAAAGATTTGGGTGTGATGGGCCAGGAAGAAGAAAAACAAGCCTAGGAAGAAAAGATATGGAGTACTGCTAAAGATTGCCTTGGGTAACTTTGAATGTGTCATGAATTAGCAGTTTTCTTAAAGCACAATTTTTTGCTCATTTTCATTGATTCGGTGTTTTGAGACAGGACCTTGTTACATAGCTCAAGGGAACTCCTTGCCATCCTTCTGTTTCAGCTTTCCAAGTGCTAGGATTACAGGCGTGGACCTCTAGGTCTAGCAAAAGTATTATTTAAAAATTATGATGTTTCTTGCCTCTTTTCTACCTGTCCTTATTCTTATCTTATATGTATATTTATACATGCCCATAACATACTTCAATTGTTTTTTCACCATTACCTGCTCCCTCTTTCTACCTCCTAGTTTCACATTTGTTCCAAGGGAAGTTTCAATATGGATAGCGTATTTTGGTCATGTCCACCCCCCTCTACCTATCTTTATTTCCTGTCTGCTACTTCATGCACTTGATGATATTTGGAGAAAAATTATTTAGCTAATGTTTCTCTTTTATGTAAGGATGACATGGATGGGAAGTGACTTGTATATTAAACCAACTTTTGAAAACTTATTATAGAAAAGATGCACAAAAGCTGAGAAGACAACATGGGGGAATACTGTACTCCACTCACCAGTGAATTTCTACTTTATCTGGGCTTATTCCAGCTGCTTCCCCTGTGCTAGCGGACGCGTCTAGCACAGCCATTACATCTTGGCTGCCTGGCAGTCTTCTCCAACTTGCACTGTTATCTTTCCTTAGCTTTCCACTGCTACAATCGCTTGCTCAGCTTCCATTCCCAGACACAGGCTGGAGCTGTACGGAAGTTAACATTGCCCCAACTGCATCCTTCAGCCAAAGAAGGGTTTAAATGCTACTCGGTCTGTTCTTTTTGCCAGTTCTAAGAGGCACTTCTTGGAGTTCCCAGATTACTGAGCCCTGCACAGTCAATGCCACATCTTCACATTGGCTTTTCCTTTCTCTACGCCTTACTCTGTGGGGATCATGAGTATTGGTTGTAAGTATTGTTAACTTTAGTAACTCTATATGTGTTAAGTTTCTCCAGTTTAGCAGGTAGAGTGTTTCCTTTGTGGAATTCCTGAAAATTAGTTTCTTGTCTCTGACCTTTAGATGTGTGGTTGTCCGGGTTACTACTACTCACGGTGGGTTGTTTTGGTGAACCTGTTTGCTCTTTTCCTGTGTGACCTTTCAGTTACTATGGTAAACCCATCCCATAATAGTTTGAGGTTTTTTTGCTTTAAAAAGCCGGTGCTTGCCGGCAATAAACGCCGCCTTGATCAGACTCTTGTCTTGGCGTCCTTCCTTTCTCTCTGCCCCATCTCCACCCCGCTGCTCTTTCAGGTTTGAGACACTGCTGGACAGTGCTCTGCGTCGCCGGCTCGCGACATTACTCTTTATAGTCTCTCATTCTTGCTTCCTCCAGCCACCTTCCAAAAACTTTCTTACACCCAAATTTCTATCTCAAGGTCTATTCAAGGTAGCCTAAGCCTAAATTAACACTGACATCTCATATCCAGATACTGTTTTGGGTTACTGTCAAAATTTCAAAGGGTTCAAGACATTTTTGAAGATGCCAGCCAACGTGACTAACTGCTGTAGGGAAGTTAAGAGCAGCATTATTCTGCTTTTCTGCAGAAATGGGTAGAATTCTCTGAAGTATTATTCTTGATGAAAAAAAATTCTGAGATGTTTTGAATTAATTACTAAGACTAGCACATAGAGAGATGAAAAGATAAGGAAAGTTAATCAGTTAGCTTCAGGGGAAACTAACCTTGACTTAAATCCCATTACTAACAGCACCATCTTACCATGTTCATTTGTGTACTTTCTGGACAGTTGAACCAACCAATCCAGAAGCAACTTCTCTTTATCCAACCACTATCTATCAAATCTTGCTGCTGGTAGGCCCTTGTCATTTTCTGGCTAGCATCTATCAAGAATTAACAAAGATTTTTATTTCAGAGATCTCCTGGTCTCAAGAGTTTAAGAAAGCTTAGCTAAAAAGAAGGAAAAATGAATGAGCTGTTATTTCTGACAGATTTTACTACAGAATTAAAGTGTGTTTTAGGAGCTGAGCACAAATAACTTCATCCACCCAACCTGGATTCCAAGCTTTATTTCCAAACCCCACAGTGTAACCCTTCAAACCAAGGTGTGCCCTTAGGATGTGTTAGCAAGTGAAATGTCTATCAGCACCTTGAGACTCAAGAACACACCCAGACCCCCAGGGAAGCTGTTCCCAGAGGTCGGAGGACAGCAGCATCATAGCCTAGCATCTCTAACGAGAAACAGCTGTTGCCTGAATGTTTTCACTCAGGCTCCTTCTGGACCCGTCCAGCTGTATAAACAAGCTTTTATCCACAAGCTTGACTGGGAGAAGCCACAAGCTGTCTTCTTTATTAGGAGAACCCGAGTGTGTCGATGCCAAGGTTGAACTCATTAGAATACCAATTAAACAAAGGTGATTTCCCTTTTTTTTTGCTTTATAAGTTTTAGCTTCTATTTTCTTGGTTATCATGATGCCCATGACGTGAGCTGATGGTTAATCTGTTGAGAGTTAAAGGCAAATAAATCTATTTGAAATAAGAATTCATTGAGGAATCTTGAAGAGGCAGGTGAGAGAGCTTGGATGCTCGAGTTCTAGAAGCAAAAACATGTCCTTGGGAACTCCCCCACCTCTTTATGTACCATTTTCCTTTATGTTTAAAATTATGGATTATATTTAGCAGCTGTAAACAACTTTTCCATTACTAATATTTTAAATAATTTGCCATTTTACAGATTTTACTTTTATGCTCCAAAAATATTTTTCTTTTTGCAGTTTGAATTGCAGTTGTTTTTTTTCCATTAAGTTTATTGGTACATTTTAGGTATGCAGTACAGTTACATTCATCATTGGGATCTTGTACCTTTACATGACATATCTTGGTTCTTATTTTTCCCCATTCCCCTGCCCTCCCTTCACCCCCTCCACTCCTCCCTATTTACAAAGACTGTTTCCATTTTTCCCCTTTATATTTTTTCTTTTCCCTTCTTTCCTTTCCCCTACACCTCCCTCTTCCCCTTCTCCTTTAGACTCTTTCTTCCTATTTCACATTATCAATTATGCATTTCAATCCTCATTTACACTTCTAGTTTTTCATACCAGAGAATCTATTCAGTATTTACACTTGTGTCCTATTTATTTCACTTAAGATTATGGCCTCAATGTGCATCTATTTATCTATAAAGCTCTCTAGTTTCTCATTCTTTATGGCCATTTTATTTTTGAAAACCACATCTTCTTTATCCAATCTTCAGCTGATAGGTAATTGGGCTATTTCCAAGTTTTAGTTGTTATAAACTGTGCTGCTATAAACATGGGTGTGGATATATCACTGGTGTATGATTCTTTTAAATATTTTAGGAAGATACCCAGCAAAGGAATAGCTGGGTCAAATGGGATCTCTAATCCTAGTTCTTTGAGGTATCTCCATATTGATTTCCGTAGTGGTTGCACCAGTCTGCACTCCCACCAACAATGGAGAAGAGTTCCTTTCTCCCCACAACCCCGCCAGCATTTGTGATTGGTTTATTTCTTGATAGCAGCCATTCTTTCTGCGGTGAGGTGGAATCTCAGTGTTGTTTCATCTGCATCTCTTGAATGACCAGTGATGCCGAACACTTTTTCATATGTTTCTTTGCTTCTTTTACTTGTTTGTCTGAAAAATGTCTGTTCATTTCAGATGCCCAATTTTGAATTGGGTTTTTAAAATAGATTTTTTTTTTATTGAGTTTATTGGTACATTTAGGGATACAGTACAGTTACATTCATTGTTGGGATCATGTACCTTTACATGGCAAGTCTTGATTCTCATTTTTTCCCCTTACCTCTGCCCTCCCTTCACCCCCTCCTCCCCTCTCCATCT